TGTCACCTTCCAAAATGAATTCTGAACTCCATTTAACAGTCTCAACCTGTTAACAGGGTGGAGAAAAGAGCAACATCAGATTCCTTACACTAAGGGCTCAAAGACCTAGAACACAAATATCTTGGTTGAAAAAAAATAAATTCATTGTTATGTCCTGCATTTTTGAAAAATATTGGTCAGATATGAAGAGCTACATACTGCAAATTGTAGTGAAAGGGGATCATGCTGCTGTTTCGCCTTCCTCATGGACAAGGTGAGGTACACTGACCTCAGGACTCTTCCTGCACTGAACAGGTTGTATACAATAATTTAAAAAGAAACTCAATGACTAAAGCTTTGAATTTAATCTGCCATATGACTGACTAAGTATTTCAGAACTGCGATAGCATTCACAATTCAAAAGTCACTAAAGCAAAACAGTGAGGAGACAATAAGGGAGTTGAAGGTGTCATTCCAAACCCAGACTCAATGTTACAAGGATGTGAGCTTACACAGAAACAAAAATCCAGGTGCTGTCTTTATTCATCCTTTTGTGAAGGGATTAATTTGGAAATTCTTCTGGAGAATAATGATATACATAATGTTGTTATAGAAAATTAATGCCTTAAAAAGATTCCTCTTGTACATGTGACAGGTGCAAATACTCCAGAATTGAAAGTTTGGAAAAGGAAGCAATTCCTTAGAAATTAATTTTAACAGTTGAAAGTTATTTGGGGTAAAGTCTGAGGGGGATGGGAACAAACTAAGATTATGACTACAATAAAGCCCTTGCATGCATTGATATTTCGTACTGACACAGTATTACTCTTGTCGTAGTTTAACCCCAGCCAGCAAATAAGCACCACGCAGCCGCTCACTCCCCCCCCCCCCCCGCAGTGGGATGGGGGAGAAAAATGGGAAAAGAATTAAAACTCATGGGTTGAGATAAGAATGGTTTAATAGAACAGAAAAGAAGAAACTAATAATGATAAGGATAACACTAATAAAATGACAGCAGTAATGATAAAAGGATTGGAATATGCAAATGGTGCACAGTGCAATTGCTTACTACCTGCCAATCGACGCCCAGTTAATCCCCGAGCGGTGATCCCCCCGCCCCCACTCCCCCCAGTTTATATACTAGATGTGACATCACACGGTATGGAATACCCCGCTGGCCACTTTGGGTTGGCTGCCCTGGCTGTGTCCTGTGCCAACTTCTTGTGCCCCTCCAGCTTTCTCACTGGCTGGGCATGAGAAGCTGGAAAAATCCTTTACTTGAGACTAAACATTACTTAGCGACAACTGAAAACATCAGTGTTATCAACATTCTTCTCATACTGAACTCAAAACATAGCACTGTACCAGCTACTAGGAAGACAATTAACTCTATCCCAGCTGAAACCAGGACAACACGATACTGACAAGGCTGTGCTTTAAACTATTGTGTAAGATACCATCAAGCTAAACTAACTATAGATTCCAGTTTGGCTAGTGTAACACCAATGATTTCTTCCAGTACAGTTACAATAGCCAGAGACCATTTTTTCATGTCTCTTGTAGATATAGTCATGTTGGCAGGTGTTTGCTGTAAGCATAGCTTTAATGTACTTTACAGACTTTTCAGGGGAAGTCTGCAACACAGACTTCAACATGATGTAGAAGTGGAAGACACATCTCACTTCTATATAGCCCAGATTTCAATGTTGGTTACGTATGATTATGCTGGAGAAAGAGTTTTTATTTTTCTTATACCTGTTTATGAAATAGCAGCAGCTTGGACAATGACATACAACTCAGCTGAGCATGCCCTGACACACCCAAGAAGAGGTCCCACAATTATCACTGTGCCAATATGACTTGAAAGGGAAACATGGATGTTTTTATAAAGTGCCTAAGCATATCCCATAAATTTGTGAGGGAATAAGCAGCCTTTTATGGCAAACCACGCAAGGAACGGTGTTGCTAAAACAAACCAAACAGCAATAAAGTTTCCCTTCTGACTTCTGATAAGCAATATAAGTGAACAATCAGATCCAGATTCTGTGCTACGGTGTATTTGCCTTGGCCTGGCAAATTGCCCTTGAAATGAACTCCCTGATAACAGGGAGGTTGTGCTACAGCGACTGTTCTGCCTACTGCTCTCTGTGATTAGGGATCGCAGTTAGGACAAGTGAGAAATGAAGCAATTGGAAAAGGGGATTAAAACTGTTTCAGACCTACTTTTGAGGAGGCTTACTTTAGCATTTTTTTCATCCTGTACAGTACATATTCTATAGCAATTTTGAAAACAGTATCATTTGAAAGTTAACATCTGCTTAGCTGGTAGCACCAGATAAAAGCTCTCATTTGTAATGAACAGGCAAATTTGTTATTGCCCCAGTCAATAGCTATTGACTTGGTAGAGCACTTCTGCTTATTACAATCAAATCCTTTTTCTTTTTTGTTCAATAGTCAATGACACTGTAATGGAAGGTACTGCTTACAAACTGATGCAATATATATCAGCAACTGCTAGAAGTTAATGTCTAATGGTTGCAAACAGGAAAGCATGTGCTAAGAACAGCATTACACACCTATTAGTCAAATTTACTGCATCCGATGTGCCTTTATAGGTTAGTGGAACTGTAATGAACATCAAATAAATAGTTTCTGTTGTTATTAATCTAAGTTTTAACACAAAACACCTTTTAATCATGCTATCATTACATAAATAATTTGGCTAGGACAAGGTTCTGTCTGACTTTTACAGCACACAGTTAAGAGGAAATTTCTGTCCCATGTTGGCTTGTGCAATCCTAGATTTAGGATTTAGTGAAATACAGGATAACTGTTCTTCTCCCAGCTGAAGCACTGTTATTCTCTAAATACCTCAGATGGGGCAGTATAAATGCAAGGCAACATCCTAAAGATAAACTGGCAAAAGAGAAGCATAGCAGAGTGCGTGTGTCCATTGCTCATCCTGCTTCCTAGCTTCTTCCCTGCGGCAGAGCAGTACTGCACAACTTTGTCCTTTACACTTTATATAACTTGCACTTTCCATGCCTTTGGGGAGAAATTTGTTGATAACTCATGTATTTTTTTCATTCTATAATTATTGCGGTATAATTGTTTTATTTTTTTAAACCTGCCTGACACAAAAATATTTCCTTTCAAACTTTCTCTACTTATTTTATATCTGAGATGCATATTTTTATAGAACAGTGTGAATATAACAGTAACACCTACTATTTTTATATTACCTCTAACCAAACATTCCAAAAACAATAATAAAGTTTGTTGACTCCTTAGGGAAAAGCAGAACTGCTAATGATGACTTCTTGACTTACAGTTGTCTATAATCACTTTTCCTGTAGAACAGGAACAAATACTCTAATGTTGGAGCACTGATTTATCTGTTTGTTTCTGTTTTCATGAATGCAATCTTCATTTCTCTCTAGACTGATGATGAGACATTACAGAAGGAAAATTTATAAATGTGGCAAAGATTAAACAATCATGCCATTGCCAAGTACATTATACTGTACTCTGTGCACACCATCTAATTAGATTTAAACAATGTTCATAAATCACAGCTATTAGCCTTTTTCAGAAACGAGACATACACTACTAGATCCACCACATGGATCCAAGTCATACCTGTGGTACTGGTTCATAAACCGCCCATGTTGGTGAAGACTGGTGTAATTTAATTGCTGCTATATTGCTTATTATGAAGCAAGGAGCTAAATTCAGTTAAGTTCCTACGTATTTACATCTCTTGACAAAAATCTCCAATGCTGCTCAGCCAGTATTTACTTGTGTTCTTGTTTGTTGTCAGCAGAGCAGTTACTGACAGGAGAGCAATGGAGGAGACTAAGCCATATCTTTCCAGAAGTCTGCAACGTAATGAATTTTGCTAGTCTAATAACTAAACAGTCCTAAATAATAATGAATTTATCCTGCAATACTGTGTGAAGAAAAAAAAATCCTCTTCATCTTAATTTAGAACCACAGAGAGACAGATTTGAACAAGGTCATCCCATAAACCTATTGAAATTCCATTCCAATGACATGAGTTCAGGAGCTATACTTTCCTCTTTGTTCTAGTATGTTGTGTCTTCCAGACATAGCTTTTGATATAGTAACAAGGTCAAAACAGGAAATATTCATAACATATTTACTGTGATGGTGAGAGGACATCATTGTTTTATACACACAACACTTGATCTTTAAAAGAAAAATATAAATACTGCAAATCAGCAAACAACATGGCTTAGTTGAGGCAATGATTAATTTTGAGAAGAGTATAACTTAGGAGTTTTTTAATTAATTACTGCAAAAATTTGGCATTAAAGAAATTGCATGCATGTTAATAAGACTTTTTACTTAATACTTAAATGATAACTAGATATTTCAGCATTTCAGAAAAGTCTATAACACTGCTAAAAATGCTAGATTTCAGAGGCAAATTTTGGGATTTTGGGAGCTGCAACAGGTATAAAGAGTAAGACATTTCATAGATTATTCTGGAATTTTAGTGAATCATATGCAAGTGTACAATAAGTTTAAAAGAGTTTACATTTTATTTCTTTAAAATAGGAAATTGATCTCTTCTGGTACCAAAATCAGTAAAACACAACCAAATGAATAATGAGTGCTTGTGGGAAAAGAAGAATATAGCTGCTACCTTACAAAACGATTTGACTTCATTGTCAACTCAGTTACATTTATTGTTTTCTCTACTGTATTCCACTTGCCTACAAGCAAACTCTACAGTTTATTTCATAAGAACCTGTAAAGACTTTATTAGAGTGAGGAGGATTTTCACTAAAAAATTAAAGCAAAACATTTCTAATTCAAAACAGATAGGCTATGCATTTCCTATTATGGTCCCAAGCTCTGCAGTATCTACTGTCACTTTATGATCTGGATGATTTCTGAGAATTGTAATCCACATTGAACGTTGAACTAATGCTTAATTTTGATACTAAATGACATAGAATGGGGAAAACAATGAAAAAATATTAATAGTAACTTACTTTTTGTAACAACTCCTTCAAGGCGAATTATATTTGGGTGATCAAATTGTCCCATGATACTAGCCTCTCTCAGGAAATCTCTTCTCTGCCTGTCCACATAGCCACCTTTTAGAGTTTTAATTGCAACAGGTATCTCTCTTTTTCCTGGTGTCTTCAGACGTCCACTGCATACTTCTCCAAACTCACCTTAAATAGGTAAAATATTTGTTAGATCATTCACAGTGTCTGAAGAACTACAGTACAGTTTGTACTGCTGAACTTAAACACCTTATTTTTCAAAATAACCTTCAATAGCTGTCTTAAAAGCTGTCTTTTTTAATAGTTCAGAGTTATTTGTACTTGTCAGTGAAACAACAATGCAAAAATATTCAAGAAACTCATACGTCCTGTAGAAGTAGACAGAGAAATAATGGATGGAATATTCAGGCTCCCAAGTTTCATCACATCTCAGAAAAGTGAAATATTCAGCATTACTTCACAGCAAATAATCACCTTTTCTTTGTGCCACACCACGAGATCATGGCGACTTGTACTTTCACTGCAACAGCCAAACCATCTGCCCTCCACAGTGTGGTTCACCTTGCTTTACTGACACCCTGAGACTGAACTCTGATATCAATACGTTTGTGATACAACTGAGCATGCTATGAGGAAGGAATGTAATGACACTGAGATTTTAATTCTAATGGTGACTGTCGTGGTTTAAGGCCAGCCGGCAACAAAGCACCACAAGACCACTTGCTCACTCCTCCCCCCCCCCATCCCCCGGTGCGATGAGGAAGAGAAAATATAAAGAAAAGCTCATGGGTTGAGACAAGGACAGGGAAGGATCACTCACCACTTATGGTCATGGGCAAAAAACAGACTCAACTTGGGGAAAAACCAAAATCGATCTAATTTACTACCAATCAAATCAAAACAGGATAATGAGAAGTAAAAACCAAATCTTAAAACACATTCCCCCCACCCCTCCCTCCTTGCCAGCTCAACTCCACTCCTGATTTCATCTACCTCCTCCCCTGCAGCAGCACAGGGGGACAGGGAATGGGGGTTGTGGTCAGCTCCCCACACCTTGTCTCTGCTGCTCCTTCCGCCTCAGGGGGAGGACTCCTCACTCTTCCCCTGCGCCAGCGTGGGGTCCCTCCCACAGGAGACAGTCCTCTATGAACCTCTCCAACGTGGGTCCTTCCCATGGGCTGCAGTTCTTCACAAACTCATGGGCTCCAGCATGGGTCCTTTCTGCAGGCCGCAGTCCTTCAGTCACGCACCGCTCCAGCGTGGGCTTTCCCATGGAGTCGCGGCCATCTTGGGGGGCCTCTGCTCCCCTCCATGGGCTGGGGGGGACAGCCTGCCGTCCCGTCCCACCACGGGCTGCAGGAGCATCCCCTCCTCCGGCGCACCTCCTCCCCTCCTTCCTCACTGACCTCGGTGTCTGCAGAGGGGTTCCTCTCACGTTCCAATCCCCCACTCGCTACCGGGTCCCCTTCTTCAATCTGTTCTCCCAGAGGCGCGACCACCGTCGCTGACGGGCTCGGCCTGGGCCAGAGGCGGGCCCGGCTTGGAGGCAGGGAAGCTTCTGGCAGCTTCTCGAGGGAGCCGTCCCTGCGGCCCCTACCCCGCTACCAAAGCCCCGCCACACAAACCCAAAGCAATGACAAAATATCTATCCAAAATATCTATTTATAGCAGTATCTCTCTATAGGGGTGTCATGCACTAAGATCTATATGAAAAGAAATGCTGTGAGAATATCAGAATACCTGACTATCCTCCAGTTGTAGAAAGCATTTAAAATATATCTAATGCTATTATGCCCCAGAAAAGCACTTGCACATGATTTATTTAAAAGGACTTACATGCCTACTTGAAAATTAATTACGTATTTGACTTCAGACAGCCAAAGACCAACAGTTTCAGCAAATCAGGACTGAGTTGCGTAACAAGAGGAATCTCAAAGCTTGCTTCACCTGATGTTTTCCTGGGTATGTAAAGGCCTTTGAAGAATGCATGTCTCCTTGCACTCCCTTTACACATTTACTAATTGAGTTTTATGGAAAACACAACTTTCCTTTGATCTTGAAGCCACTCAAAAGTTATTTAAAGCCCCTACCAAATATACTCTGGATGCCTGCAGGTCAGTTTTCGATGGGTCATAATTCAGTAAATGAAAAACAACGTTCACAAAAATATTTCAAAGCACTTCTCAGTGCAGGGTACTTTTAGCAAACCCAAATTCTCTAACCCAGCCATTTTGGAATCAGAACTGCTGAAAAACAAAAACCAAGTCATAAATAGATGTATATTTAACTGGAGGAAACAATTTGTTACCCCCTCTACTGAGTGCTGGCTGAATTAGTTTTCCTTAAACTTAAGAACAGAACAAAAGAAAACAAAATAAGGGAGTTCTGTCCTGTAACAGCGTGTCTTCAGATATGAACTGAATCTAGAAGAGAGACCTTAAAGGCAGAAGCTTCATTTCAGAAAATTATAACTCCCTGATGTTGTAGGATTAGAATGGATATTGTCATACAGCTTTTATTTTATTAGGTTCTGTCGCTTCCACTAAAACAAAACAAGGTTTTATTAGCCAATAAGATCCAGGAAGAGTGGAGGGATTAAAAAAACAATTTCATAGCTTGTCTTTCACTTCAAAACAGAGTCATCATCAAGTGCAAGAGTACAATTAACAGATGCTGAACATAACCTCTGAATACATTAGCAGCTTCTTAAACAGCTAACAAAAAGCCTAGTGTCCTAGGTCTTCCTTCTACCAAAACCCACCCATTTGTTTTATTTCTACTTAATTTTAAAAAATAAATCAAAGCATGTGCTTCCCTTAAGATGTGAGCTTATGTGTGAAAATATATGTCATCAGATTAATGTTCTGGGAATCTTTTGACAAAAGGGGAAGTTGGATAGGGATTTTTCCTATATGATTTTGCCCCTTTAGCTCTTAGAAGGCTCTCCTTAAAAGTCTGTTTGCCTGACTACTGCCACTGAAAAAGCAGTAGCTAATTTGGACTTCTAAAGTCCTACTATAAAACAAAGTCATGAAACCTGAATGTTTTGAAGGAGACATGATATATCGATCTTCTATTCCGTGATACATCCAGCAGTGCTAGAATGCATCTCTAAAGCTATGACCTTATTGCACCTTACTGGCTTTTCAAAACTTAAATACCTAAAATGAGAAAAATTTCCAATTTCTTTCTCTTGATGAAACTGTGAAAAGCAAAAATACTAGAGCCTTAATATCCAGATTTTTAAATAGATTTAATGATCAATAAACCTGCAGAACTGCAAAATCTCATTTTTGAGAATAATTTGGAAAGCATAGGTTACAGACAAATCGTTTTGCTAGTGTAAGATTATACGAGAGTACTACAACTTCAGAATTTCATAAATAATGGCATTCATACCTCAGGGACTGTAAAGGGCTGTTCACCAAGTGTTTTGAAATGAATTAAACTGAAGGAGGCAGGTGAAGGACTTACAGTCCCAAGATTTATTATCTGTACAACATCCAAAGCAGGGGAAGGAACATCGTGTCTTCTCCCTGACCTGTTTCTTTCCCCTTTTTTGGATGCATGATTTTTATGGTTGGAAAGTAATTTCACTCCCCTTGGATATTGGGATTGATAAACTGGTGAACATAAAGACTAACAGCAATTTTTTTGCGATGTGATGTCAAACAGACAGTAAGTGATCATCAGCTCACAGAACAGTCAGTTACTACATTTAGAAACCTAAGGTATGTGTAATAACTTCTAGTTCTCATTTAGACTAGATGGAGATCAATGATATAATTTAAAGCACTGAGCTATTTACACTGAGGAGGAGTTTGACAATACTTCATCCCAGAGTATTTTTTCTACACTTTTGTTCAGAAAAATAATTTTGAATGTTTTTAAAGTCAAAGAGGAATGTGTTCAACAAAAGGGATTTTTAAAATCTAAGTCTCATTGCTCCAGTTTGAAGATAAACAAGACAAATGTTGACCCTGCAGCAGTAAAGGTTCATGACTGCATGTGTAATAAGTAGAAGCTAAGAGCCAGATGTCATGAAGTCAACACCTTTCCTTGCTCCAGGGAAAAAGCTGGTGATAACTAGAGAAAAAGCTAGAATTCATTGCCTGTTCAGTTTCAATAAATTGTAAATAATCCCTGGTTTAATGATATAAATCGCACACATCTTACTGTATGTTATACAAAAAGAAGCTAATTGAGCAGTCTAGAAACTTACCCTGTGCAAACCATGCATCCTTTTTCTCACTCAGTCATAACATATGTGTTATTTAAAATGCAACAGGAATTGTCAGTCACTTAAAAGTCTGATATGCAGTCTGGTATTACTACATGGGAACAAAACAAATGTCTTACAACACAGAGAGCTGCTGTTGATAGAACTGAAAGGTCACAGCACCAAATACAGGTCAACTCATTTTCCCCAGTTTTAGTCAGTAGACTTGTGGGAGAACCGGCAGAAGATTTAGATTATAAAAAGAATATAGTGTACTCTCTGTGAAAAATTGAAGAGTTGGCCTCTTCCTTGAGTTTCAATATTTTAACAAAGAAAATAAGAGGATAATTGTAACTTTTAAGACAGACTTGACAAAGTACCTCTGGGAATTCCTTCCATGAAGAGGTGCTGAAGCCTTAAACCAAAGAGCAAGAAGTGATGGGGCAGAAAAAAGTGTCAGGACAGGACAAAATCAAACGATATGAAAACATGTCAGTAGGTGCAGCAAGGTCAATATGAAGAGTGGCTGAAAGGGACCATCTGAAGAAAATCTACAGCAATGAATAGATGGCAAATCATGGGAACTGACAAATAGACACCCAGTGATCTTTGTAATGAACCAATGGGAGATCTCATGGAATATTTAATACCAGTGATAAAAAAAACTTGGCCAAGAGTTTTGAATCCAAGACTATACAATATGAAATCAAACAATACTAAAACCTTGTTATAAGTAGTGGATAAAATAAAAGGGAATGGACTAATCAATTTCATCATTTAAACAGTAACTATTGCTAGAATGTGAACTTCATTAATACCGGTTTATTTGGTTGATGTTACAATGAGAAACACAAGTTAAGCACTTACAAATAGTTCTGTTTTGCCTTTGGTATTGTAATCTGCACGCTATTATGAATATTTGATCAAGCTGCAATTTCCATTTTGCTTGTAAACTGTTCCCCCTACTGCCTTTACCCTCCAGTTTGAACCAAGATATCAGCAGAAGTTACTCGAAGACTAACAAAAGAGACCATTAACAGCTATTAACCTTGATAATCTTTCATTCAATCAAAAGGTGTACAAAACAGTATTTTAGTTTTTTTTTTTTTCCTCAGATGAACCAGATGTAAGGTAGGTGATGATGGGAAGCCACTCAGGGGAAGTAACCTGACTACATATCCATCTTGAATCTGGATTTATGTGCAGATATGGTTACTTTCATGCAGATCTCTTGTGTCTACACATGGAGTAAGTAAAGCATGAATAATTTAGAAAGGACTTTCCAAAGTCTGTATTTTACTTGCTTTATTTACACCTAAGCACCAGAAGGAATGATAGTAATTCAGAGACTTTGCAGATGTACTGGAACACCAAAAGCATGCCACAGGGGAAGACTGGGAGACCTGAGACCAAAGTTTCAATTAACTGGCTCCATAGAATATAGCGGCTGCATTCAGAAACATCAGCTTGGTAAATGTCCACTAGGAGGACTTGAAAAAGGATTTTTAACAAGAGATTGCACTAATTCATTTTTTCTCAAAGTAATCTCGTGAGCTCAGCATCCTGCCTTAAATTGTTGCTGCTTTGCATTTCTTCTTATTACATGCCTAATGATATGACCTTGCAATAGGAATGTTTATTAAATCTACAGCTAAATGTATAGATACTATCTTTTTATTTTGGCTATAATGTCTTTGACTGTTGCAGACCAAGTGTCATCTTGATCTTTGTAACTACTAAAGGCTATTTTCCAATCTGCTGTTACTGCTTGAAGATCTTGCTACTTTTTCAATTTGACCATTTGTTGCCAATTTCTCTGAACCTGTTTTTAGTATCTGATGGAAAAACATCATTGTGTGGAGCAGGGCGTAAACAACAGTATTAGATATTTGCTCTCTTTTTTTACATCAAGTAGTACTACCCCTATGTTACTGTACTTGGCACCAAAGGAGCAGACCAAATTGTCTGTATAACATGGCTAATAAATGATTGCAGAGAAATCCCATTGTCTTGTGCAGCATTCAGATGTACCTGTACAATAGAGTGTAAGTAGGTAAATACACTCAGGGGCTCTTAGATTTTGCACTTCTAAGCAGAGACTGAAAGATAGGACAAAAATAATAAATAGGAAGTCTTTGTTTTTCAAGTGTATATGTGTATCTGAGGTAAGTAAGTGGAGCGGTTAGGAGATTTTAACTTTTAACAGTGCTGTAATCAGAAATGAGATCATCAGTAGCTTTAGTTGAAAATACTACTTCTGATTTGATGGCATCATCCTCAGATAGATTACTCAGCAGCAAACAATATAACGTACATTTCCAATTCCCATCATCCAAGATTATAATTACTAAATACTTTAAAAGATAGCTTGGGTACAGAATTAGGTAAGCTGAAAAAAGAAACTAGAAAAAACACTTGCCTTGAGTATCAAAGCCATCTGCACTGCAACTAGTAAATTGTCAAGAGCTTTTAGACATGACTTTTTCCATTGAAAAACCAAATTGGAAATTGCTTTTGGGAAAAGATCGGTTTGAAAAATTTCTTAACCAGAAATGCTAGAAAAAAATTTTCAAATATTTGCAATGTTCCACTTTGACATTTTCAAAATGAAAATTTTTAATTTTTGAATGGAAATAATTTTTGTTTTTTTAAATGAAAGTTATAGAAATTAAAAATGAAAATAATTGATCAAAATAAAATGTTCAAACAAAACAAATTTAAGAAATGCATCTATTAATTTACTTGAAAGTGAATGTTTCATTTTGTAAAAGATTTTAATTTTTCATTTCACTTGGATGAAAATTGTAAACATCTTCTAAAAATAATTCTCCTATGATAAGAAATCCATTTTATATCCAGTTGCAACATTTAATACAGAATTAGAGAGAAGGCATAAAGAAAGTTTTAGGACTGCTGTGAATTATAATGATATGCTATGTCCCCTAGCAGCTATCGAAGAACTCTGTGAGAATTTGTATTCTCTGTGCCTCAGGCATGGTATTTAGCCTGTATCTTGCCTGCATGGAAATGGGTTAAAATTTGATTGCAACCAGTTTGCAAGTCTTGCTAGGCAAATATCTTTGAAGATGGCAGATTACCCAAGTAATTCGAGAAGATAAAAAATATAAAAATAAACTATGTCAAAGCAGGCAAAAATTCACTCCTACGCATAGAAGAAAAGGGAGAGAGAACCTGAGTAAAGAATTTTCATAAATGAATTAAGTTAAGAATAAGGATACAATTTTCATCTGAACTAAAATCAATAAGCTCAATCCTTGTCTGTCATTTTCTACTGCTTTGAAATTAGCAGTTATACCAGTGCTGAATGTAGTTCAATACTCTTTATAATCTAAGACATCAATATCTAAGAAAAAGGAAGAAATAAAAGAAATCAGATAGAATGCTTTCTGCAGAAGTCAGCCCTCTGGGGGCTTTCTCAAGCTCATAATTCCAATGGAGCACAGTGCCAGCTACATATTATCTAGCTTAAGCAATCAGGTAAACTCTAAAGTACTCTAGCGATATGGACTGCAGCATGAAACAGAATTTTGTCTCTTACTTTCAGGCTGATACTTTCTCTCCCCCGTTTGTGAACAGGCCTGGTTTTATTTCTGTTATATTATTTGCATGACATTTTCTAGTGCATAAAACAGTTTTTAGCAACACTGGAGACATTTCCGTTGCTATCAGTGTAGTAACATATCATTAAATGAGGGATCTGAACTGAAATATACCTCTCTTTTCTCGAGTGACTAAGATATATGAAACAAAGATAAAAAAGAAGGATAACAGTGCATTATGTCTTCTGATAGTAATTTTCCTGACAATACTTGCTAGCACGAGTTCTTTGGTGGGCTCACTATGAGCAAATTAAAATAATATTTTTTCCACTGACCCCCTCTACAAGATGTAACTCTGATTTTTGCAATCTGTTGTATTGTGAATTCTTTCTTTTTTTTCTTGATGTCATTAAAGCTAGAGAAAGTAAATAAGGTAAAAAATAAAAGCATTTGTATGTTGGCATTTACTTAATAAGTAATAAAACAGCATTGTTGAAGAAAGCCCAGAATGGATAGCTTGAAGATGGGCATTGGAGTGTGGAACATGCTAATTATTGCTACTGAAATAAAATTACAGTGAGGTGAAGACAAAACATCTGCATAGTCAGTATTATAAGTACCTTTAAGACAGCAATTTACAAAACTCAATCACTCTTAATATCTTAAGGACACAGATAAATATCCATATTTTGTGTAAACTGAAGACGGTTATAATGTTAATGTCTTTCACAGGAAGAAATTAAATTTCAGAGCTGGAATTAGAGCTTAGGATTCCGTTCCTATGTTCATCAAAATTTCTGACACAGACCCCACCTTCCCTTTCTGTTGGGGCTGAGAAATGATTAATGCTCCCCAGCCATTGACAGTGTGCAGGTAACAACACAGAGGATGTAATGCACCACAGGAACCTCAGACTCTCCTTGTCAGTCTGTTTTTTGTTTTAATTTGATATAACCATGAGAAATGTTGGTGGGCCTTCTGAATGACATGTTGGTCACAAGCCATACATTGAGATCCACTAGTTAGGTAAGTCTGTAGGGCCTTTTTCTAGCCTTGTCTCTCTAAGTCCTCAGTAAACTACAGCTGAATAAAACAGAGAGCAAACAATCTCAGGATTATTTCATTATTTCAATAATGAAATGCTATCTGCCTTAGATAGTCAGAACACAAGTTAAAAAAAATGGTTTTACAAGACTCTGATGTTTACAAGTATTTCACTTTTGTTGTGTTAACCACAAAGGTGTGTTTTCTGTCACCACTGAGCAGCCACCAGGACCTCTAGTGAACTCTAGACAGCAGCCATGAGCCTTTATCCCTACAAAGGCTTTCCGGAAGTGAACGTGTGGCGACACTTGCACAGCACTTTCCTGTAGAGCAAAACCTGACAATTAAACCAAAGCTAAGACAAGAGGGTAACACTTAATACACAGAATAGACATGCCTATAAACATAGCACATTAGCAAAGGGTAAGATCCCTGAAACACAAGGGGCATGTTATCTCCCTTAGAAAAAGGCCAATACACATACAGGATTCATGAGCTTCTGAAACTTATTTTCAAACAGCTGTGAAATGGCCTACATCCCCAATGAGATGTTCTCAACTGAAGGTAAATACCTCATAGATGAGAACAGGGTCTAAAACAATTGTTCAGGTCTAATTCCCCTCTGTCCCCACCATGCACTTGGACAAAGATAAACAGGGATGTAAGAGGAGATCCTGCTGCTATTTTTCTAATCCATCCTGCTTCCCAGCTCCACATCATCTTTCATACTGTCTACACCTTCTCATCAGATCTTCCTCTTTTCCCTCTCTGTCAATGATCCTCCTCCACACAGCTACAGAGAAGCCTATCCCAAGCCAGCCTCTCCTTTTTCCCCTTGTACTCCTATTTTCTAAATGAGAATATTTTTTCTCAGTCTTCTATATTCTGATCTTATCTGCCCCCTAGAAAGAGATTCTGATCTAATCTCCCCCTCAGTGATAAAGAATATGTGACACTATGGCAAATGCTGAGTGACACAGTGTTTTGAGTACATTTGGAACAAAGCAAAAAAAAACAACCCCAAACCCAACCAAAACCCCAACCCTACCCAAAAAATTGATAAAGCCTTAAAAAAAATTGGGATAAGCCTATCGCTTTGGAGAATCTGCCTCTCAAGAACTCCTTATTTGAATATATCCACATTTCGAACATTAGCCAAATACAATAGCTCATTTGCACCACATCTGAGAGTGAACTGGTGCTATCAGAGAAATATGCCCACATTTTGTACTATACCTGACCACTTGCATTAGCCTGGTGACTTGAGAAAAGCAGCCTTTCCATGTCTAGACATTTTTTAAAGTGGATATAATTTTACCTGCCCCAATAACTCTTTCAATACGAATTCTTGAAGGATCTATCTCCTTTGCAAACTCATGGACAGCAAGAGATGGGTCTTCATACGTGTCTGGATCAATATATGTTTTGATTCCCGGGAAACGTACTGCAAAAAAGAGAGAATACTAGAAATCAAGAATTCTTTGATATTCATGCACTGTAACAACATGGTTTTCTCTTTTTTTTTTCTGTTTTTTTTTTGTTGACTAGACAATTGAAAGGATTGGAAATAATATACTAAATCTCCCACATTTAAAGTTCCAGAACCCAATAGAAGAGGATAATGACCCCAAATTACTAATGCTTGCTACTGGTTTCACAGAAGCCAACTGCAGAATGCACATGAGCTGTCCTTATTTGCTGTCAGCACCAAGGTTTTCAAAGATTGACTGAGCACAGACTTAAATGTTTCCTCTTATCCTTCAAGTGGCTTTTTTAGGTGAGGCTTCTGAGACATTAAAGAGCTGGGTGTTACAACTCCATAGACAGAGGATAAGCCTCTGCCAACCTAACACTAGCAAAAGCATTCAAAAGTACTGGCTAAAACTGTAAGCAAGGTCCTGCTGGACTCTGCTCAGATCTCCTGAGATGTTCTGGGTGACTGAAAGCATGGATACTTCATGACTGCTGCAGTGCATTGTTACATCAAACATCCTTTCAGCTTGCAATGATAACTGATACCTGTTGTTAGCATAAAGAATGGAGGAAATACGGGTGTTAGGTTCTCTAAATGTTATTTATGCCTCTAGTTACTGTCATATTTGCTAGCTACATGGGTCCCAGAGTTTATCCTGTCCCACAGGAACAAAAAGGCAAAGACCTTTAGAAAACAGTCTTTGGTAGTCAAATGATAAGATAGTATCCAACTCTTATGCTGTTTTGTCTCTGTCCCAGCTGAACACAAGCATCTCCTGAGGTATAGCATTTCAGGAAGGAAAATTTAGAGGACAATAAAGTTTTTGGAAGCTTCTCCTTAGGAAAAAATAATAGCCCTAGCTAAGTTTTAAGGAAAATGCTATTTTGGGTAAGACAAATTACTTTTTTTTTTTTTTATTGTAAGCATTTCCTTTCCAAATGCTATTTAGTGTTTTAGTCTGAAGAGGCTCCTTGGAATCTCTGCACTTAGCTCACATCCTTAAGGAATGCTTCAAGTACAGCTGGTAAATCTGGAAAATGCAGCAAGTCATGAGAGAAAATACGAGCTCTGAGCTGGTCACTTGAAAGGGTGTCTACAGGGACACCAAGTGAGGGCTCAAAGATATGGGGAAAAGCAGATCCTCAAGACTAACAGTGATTACTGCCAAAGCAGTCTATATTCCCCTTTGCTGCTCCTTGGGCAATTTAGGCAATCTGTCCTCTACTTTGAAAACAGGGCTTTCTAATTCACTCCTTTCATTTAAGGGTGGATGGCTGAACTTCCTTTTGCCAAACAGGTCCAATGCTTGAGATCCTTTTCTCTGAGGATGGGTCCTGGAGGACTGTGCTGCTTTGTTGTCTTCTGATCAGCTGGAACAACCAGAGACCCAGGTGCAAGACGAGAGCAAAAATATCCAAATGCATTTACAAGGCTTCGATAATTTCTGTCTGCTTCCTTGGAGATGGCCGTGGCAATAGTGTGTTGGTGCCAGATTGCTTTGGCAGGCTCCAGCAAGCCATCATTTTCTGGCATGGCTAATATCCCTTGTGTTCTTGAGTATAGCATGTCCAAGAACTTATGTTGTTTCTCTTGGACTATCTGGATGGGTATTTTTTTTAGGCTGCTGGCATGTGGTGATTAAGTTCTGGAAAACTTTAAATCCATTAACAGAAGTTGATGTAGGTAATGCATCAACTTACCAGGATAAGAGGAGGGTACTGCAGGTTGGTCAAGAGAACCTCTTTTAAAAGAATTAAGTACCTCTCAGCCTTCTTCCTCTTATCACTTAGTGGCTGAGTCTAAAGCAGCTCATTATCTGATAAGCCTAAATGCATTAGGTGAAAAACACATGTTCTGAACACATGAATGTGGCTGGACTTCATTAGGTGGTGTGCAACAGCCATTCCACTGCTGATAGAGTACACGCACCATACAGAAATGGGGAGGAGACCAGACATCATGGGATGTCATGTTATCAGCAAGATCATGGACACTTTTCTGACTCCCTTCAAAGAGTTTATTTCCTGAAATCTTCCTCTGACTCACACCGAACTTCCAAGGAAGAGAGGAAGGATGAACAAGAGATGGTTTTCTTCTGCACACAGCGGAAGCATGGGGTATAAAGCGTGGACATGACAAATCTGGGAACAGGAACAGGTGACGCTAACAGTGCAGGTTTTGCAGCGCAGCTTTTTTTTAAACAGCTTCAGCCAGTCCAGGAGAGGTCACCCTTATACTGATCCCAGCAGAGACTGTGCAGCCCCACATATTGTTTCAAGTTGAGATGCTGGATACCAAATCTATAGGTAGTCAGCAGCCAGATGAAGATTGCTGCTAGCATGAAGGAGGTACTTCTTATGGAGGTGCTGAGTGCTCAGTGTAAAGGAGGGAGTATTGTTGGCAATACAGCCTTAGCTGCTGGGCTAAATCACAGTAATTTCTCTTTATCCTTGGTTCTATGGAGCACATACATGAGTAGAGACTTGCCCCCTCAAGTCTGATGCTGAGATAACTGCAAATGAATGAGAAGCCTCTGAGATGAAGCTTTGTGTCACCATGAAATACAGTCATCATTTACCCTGGCCAGAAAGTCACTGAGTGAGGCTTTTCTCAAATTCAGTCACGGTCTCAGAGGCATATATCAAACTCTCCAGCAGGAAGGTTTTTGTCTTCTTTCCTTTCTGACCATGTTTGGAAACAAATGACAAATCTTCCTAGGAAGTATCCTTTATGGAGAAATGTGCCCTTTTCCTTGACAGAAATAGCCACTTGGCTGGATATAGTGGTGTCACCTGAAAAAAGATTTTACTTTTGGTGACTTAACTTTTGTCTTGATCATAGTATTTCCAGGGATGTTATAAAAAATGATCAAAAAATATAAAATTTAATAACCTTTGTATAATACCTTTTGAATAAATAAAAACTTTAAATTTTTACTCTAACGTAAAACAGTGAGACTAGTAATTTAAACTGAGTAGCTAAACTAAACCACATAAACTAATATACTGCCAGTGAGAGATTGCCAGGATTTTTCTCTCACTGTACTGATCAGTGAGCAGCAACATGAGGGAAGACAACCCATTCCACTTTCTATTTCTTGTGTGGCTGGAAGCATAGATCCCTACAGCCAAAGAGAACTGGATACAAATAAGGCACATAGTCACCAAGAGAGGAATTTTGAGGCAGAAGTTCAATATGGTCCAGACCAGCTGAGAAATTCAAAGAAATATACCTGAAAAACTGATAAATATTATTAATAGAATACCAAAAAACCTTATTAACTAGAGTGAATTCAGTTAAATTCTTCAAGGGGACATACAAATAAAAATAGACACCCTCGATGGTGCAAACAATAAGGAGCTATTCAGCTGGCCAGTTTAAAACATCAAGGGCAGAAGTTGTACAGGAAACCATGAACTTTCTTCATTTAAAACATGATATAGATACTATGTAACACAGGGTTGAATGACTTACAATGTCCATTTTGCAAATGAGCCCTTCTTTTCTCTTCAGATTTCATTTTGGCCTTTATGTACCATTGGCACCTTTTAAGAAAAACAAGTGAGGTTTTAATTAAAATACTTGTCATGCATAAAATAAATGTACATTAAGTTTTATCCACACTTTTATGAAAGCCAAAAGCTTTGCATTTGGAATATATTTTTAGTTATGAATAGATTCCAAAGAGTCCTGATGCTTTAATAAATTATTACTTCCTTGCATTCTTGTTTGCATACATTGGTTTGTGCTAATTAAACCTTATCCTATTAACTTTCATATCCAGTGGGTCAAAAAAGCTCATAAAAAAATCATAAGATAATAGTTTCTATGACTTCACCATGTTTCATAAAAAAAGAAAATCTTTTTTCACATCAGGACCATTTTTTTCCTGAGTAGCTCGATGCAGTCTGAGCCAGGCACTGGCTTCTTATTTCTTCTAAGATAGCAGCTATCATATAGGATAAACAATATGTAGCGTGCTATGTGAGTACGATGTTTTAGCATGTGCCTGTATGATTGCTATAAAATTGCAAATCCTTGGCAAACAACACAAAACTGTGGATGTTCATGAATTGTTAGCAACCTCACCTGACAACGCAAGGGTATGCTGGAGAAAACTGCCACATGGCAAGCTTTCAGGTTCCCTGTAATGAAATGTCCCCCAGCCTGAATGCTGCCTACTTGCAGGACTGTTAATGCTGATTTAGAGTGTCACATGATAGGAGCAATGTTTCAGTCAAGAAAAAGCAAAATATTTGCTCTTGGTCCTAACGCTCTTTCTCACTCACTGAACAGCCTAAGAAGTATGATTTAGAGGGAAATCTTTTGGTCTATGGGCTAGGCTAACGGCTAAGGGCTGTTGGGGCACTGTCGCCAGTGGAGAACAGCAGTGTGTGTGGCCATGTGCTTTGGTTTACAGACATCTGGTTCCAAGACCAGCTTGAAAAAAATGACTGGCCTCTCTGTGTTTGTGACCAGCCTTAAAAAGTAAAATAAGCTATAATTGTAGATAGTATATCCAGTAAAATACTAACAATGGAGATATGAGAAATATGTGAACACACCCACGTCATTTCAGTGGTTCATTTAAACTACTGAAGCAGAGTAGGAACACTCACGAATTCATTCATTGCTACAGAGGTGATGATGAACACCTGAAGGGCAGAAACTTCTGAAGCTGTCATGGTTATGTATCTTTATGGAGGGAAATAGCAGCCAGTGGATTCTCAGCTTCTGTGGAAATCTTTAGATTGTACACCAGTTGCTGGGACCACTAAGCATGCCAGTGCCACTTTTAGGACCTGAACAACTGGTCTGTAAGGTGCCAACTGCCAAGCGCACTGGACACAAGCTCTTACACTTAAAGTGTCTGCCCAAGGGAACAGTCAAAGAAACAAGGCTTTAACCCTGTCTAATCCTCCTAAGCATGCACGTGGCCCCAAAGTTTGACTACAGAAGCCAGTGAGTAATCACCAGCAGAGGAGTCTTCCAGCTCCAGCTCCCCACTCCCTGTTAGTGTTGGCTACAGAACAATTGGAGAAGAATAATTTCTGTAATGATAGGAATAAATCACACTGAGCTTTAACATTGCATTTCCTGGAATTTAGCCAAGACCTCCGCCTCACTGCATATCCCGTGCCTTGAAATCTCTGTTGCTTTCATTTTTCTATCTGCAATTGACAGCCGCGCTTCCTGCTTGCTCGTGGTGGATAATAACGCAGCGAAGTGCAGAGGCAGGTGCTCATTTAACCCAGCCTCTCCACTATGAATAGACTCATCAGCAGCCCTGCGACTCGACAGCTCATTGAATTGCGAATTCTAAACAGTGAAGCAGAGCACATCTGTAGGGTACCAATCGCATTTTTCATGCAGAAATTTGCCTCCAGTCCTAGAGTACACTGAGTATTTATTCAAAATTTTCTTGCTCTGTCTTCTGCGCAATACACTCTTATCACTGCATTTAAGCAGCATTTCACAATGAATTCATATCTTACATAATTGAAATAGTCCCATTGAGTAAGATGTTAGAAAGCTAAGAGAATCTTTGATATCCTTAACATTAGCTAACAGGAGGAATAAACACAGAAAGAAACCCATTTCCATATTTTTTTTCATTCCTGAGTTTAGTGAGTTTTTTCTAAAGGAAGCCTTGCAGTTACGTTTCAGGATTCCACGTAAGGATTCTACACAATCATTTCCTCTGAAAGTTTGTCTGTTTGAATAATTCCTCTCTCTTCTGAAAGTAATTCACATAATGGTAGCTACTGTAGTGCCATATTTGGTTGCTGGGGTACTGCAAATAAAACCTCCAGCCTACAATGATAGGACTTCACTTTCTTTTCAAATTAGAGGTAATGCCATACCAACAAAACAGAAACTTAATTACAAATCTTAAAGTGCAGCACTGTCTATAGGTATCAGCCCTGTCTGTGATGACCATTATCACATTCAGAGGAGTCAGTGTAACATCTCTAAGTGTAAACACAGGCTGTAAACCTGGACAGGAATAGTGCAGAATCCTATCCCAAATCTGGATTTTTTCTGTCCCCAAGCCAGGCAAGAAGGAAACTCCACGAAGAATGCTCCTCACATGGAGGCTCTTCCACCAGCTGTTTTATGCATCTGAAGGAGGGAAGGGGAAAAGGGTAAAGAGGGGCCAGAGCCCATACAACCTCCCCTACAGAGCATATTGCATGAGTGTCCTGGTTTCAGCTGGGATGTAGTTAACTGTCTTCCTAGTAGCTGGTACAGTGCTATGTTTTGAGTTCACTATGTGAAGAATGTTGATAACAGTGATGTTTTCAGTTGTTGCTAAGTAGTGTTTAGACTATAGTCAAGGATTTTTCAGCTTCTCATGCCCAGCCAGGGCACCTGACCCAAACTGGCCAACAGTGTATTCCATACCATGTGACGTCCCATCTAGTTTAGGAACTGGGAAGTGGGGGCGGGGAATCGCCGCTCGGGGACTGGCTGGGTGTCGGTCGGCGGGTGGTGAGCAATTGCCCTGCGCATCATTTGTACATTCCAATCCTTTTATTACTACTGTTGTCATTTTATTAGTGTTATCATTATCATTATTAGTTTCTTCTTTTCTGTTCTATTACATCGTTCTTATCTCAACCCATGAGTTTTACTTTTTTTCCCGATTTTCTCCCCCATCCCACTGGATGGCGGGGGAGTAAGTGAGCGGCTGCGTGGTGCTTAGTTGCTGGCTGGGGTTAAACCACGACAAGGAGCTATGAGCCCGACTCCTCTGCTCGAAGACCCATACCTCTACAGAGTATCAGCCTAGTTTCAGGCTTTCTTGATCCATGGCAGCAGCGCATTGCCACGGATATCTCACAGAGTAGACAGGGATGTAATGACTTTGTCCTTTTAAATTCTGCTTTGCTTCCTGGTGGAAGCAGATGAAGTCCTGAAATCACATAGGAAGCACCTGGAGGCTCAGTGAAAAAGGAAACAAGGCACCATGGAAGCAGCTATGCCTGGGGGAATCTGAGCTCCAGCAAGGACTGATGTTCTGACCTCTTCATGTGTTTTTTAGCATTGAGAATTTGTGAGTTCCCTTAAAACCTTCAGTGTGTAATTGAGCATGGCATCTGGCCACTCAAATCAAAATGCTTTCTCATCCAATTTGCATAATGTCATTATTTGATCCTGATCAACACATCAACTCAAGGAAGGTGGACAATCACCACTGTTCTAAAAGAACTGTAAGTGTAAGAATCAGGGTAGTTATAAAAAATAATCATTGTCCAGACTGGTGAATTCCCCTGCCAGGGCAACAGTACTGCTGTAATGTAGATTTAATTGGGCTATCTTCAATCCAATCTAAAAAAAAAAAAAAAGCCAAAAAGCAATAAAACAGGACCTTCAGGAAGCTATTTTCTGTTCACCAGTGATATCACAGGCAGTAGAATCATTCTAGTATTTTGAAGTAAAGTTTTCCTTAGTTTAATTTCATTACATAATTCCTGTATTTTACCTTAATAGATGCAGAAGAGTGCATATAAAATATATACATAATTGTGTACAATTTTTCCTACAAATTTAATATAGCAAAAGTAATAAAAAATTGTCCACTAAAGTGCTTTTAGCAAGCTATATTGCCAACCCCAAGACATCAAAAATCCTAAGGTTACACCCTCCAAAGCTTTGCAATTGACAGTTATGCGATTTTGTAAAAAATACCGTGTTTTTTTGTCTTCTAATGTCAGAGCCTTGAGGGTGCAAGTACATTGTATTTTTAATACAATTTTGCAAGCAAGAGGTCCAGAAACTTATTTTGAAAGTAGCCAAGCTATTTTCTGATTTCACATAATTGCTTAGCTCCCCAAACCGTTTTTTTTTTTAATGAAAAACAACACTCACAATAGAACTGTGAGTATGAGCAGTGCTGAACAAAGAGGACATTGACCCTGCTATGTATAACCCTTATTTTAGCACTGAAAATGTGGCTTAATGACTTAACTATTATTCTTAATTTCTTAGTTTTGGATGACTCTGACCCTGAGTAAATGAGAACACTGTGGTGTTAATTACCTCCCAGTGATCAGGAAGAACAAAGTGAGGATGACCAGGAGAGTGAATCCACCAACAGCAGCAGTGGCAATTACAAGAATCTGTCCCTGCTCTGCAGCCATATCAGAAGCTGAAAGAGAAGCAAAAAGAAAAGAGGTTAAAGCTCCATTACTCAGGGTTCTTGCAGAATGGGTGATAACATTTCACTGGTCAAATGTTGCAATTACTCTGTAATAGTTTCCTTGGTGCTTAGAAGGACATCAGATGCGAACGTGCCTGTGAAGTGAAAAACCATAATCCATGTCCCAACTAGGATGAAGGGGAGAAGATGTTTACAGGTTTTTAAAAGGAGGAGCTGGCGTTATCAGACATTTGCAATTTACTAAAGTTTGAGTATGACAGGATTTTCAACACAAAAATAGAACATATATTTTCTTTAGCTTTATTTAGCTTAATCCTGCATCTAATTCAGAACTTCTTTCCATCCAACTGTCCCAGTGAAGTCAGCAGCAGTGCTATGTATGTAAGAGATATTAAACTGGTTTCAGGAGAAAGCAAAGCAGAAGAAGAACACTTAATGTGTAGCCTCACACACTCTTCTGTATGTCTGGTGTTTAGTTTTATTGTCACAGAATGTATATAGTTTTACCTATAACATGCTTTGGTGATTGGTAACACTGTAGTTGAAAAAAAATATTGATTTTCTTATGCCTCATGTTTTTCTCTCTGCTTTTTGTAGGACATTTAGGAGTTAAAAAAGATCACCTGAAATTATCCGGTCTCTAGACTCTTGCTCTTTTTATTAATTTATTCTGTATAATATTAAACCCTTACATTGACAAAGTACCTACTTACAGTCTGGTTGGTCCTCACTGTCCAAGTACTACATGAGCAGAAAAAGAATTAGGCTCAGTTTTTTCTCTATCTCCTGTCTTGTGACTCCAAAGTTTTACTTCTTAAACTCAGTTACACTTGAACATTTTGACCACAGGACGTTTACCTAATTCTTACTGTCTGTTTCCATGAGAAACATAACATTGTTCTGAAAGGAGAATAAATAATTCTATTCAATGACCTCTGACAACGGTAATAAATGTAGAAAATAAAATATACTTTAGATTTATCAGGAAAGCAGCTTTGATTTTGTAAACTTGCAAACTGTTCCATAAGCAAAATCTTCAGCTTTCTTTAGGCACCAGATGATTAAATCTTAGGGAAATCACCTAGACTGCTGCCTAGAAAGCTCGGCAGGCTGTATTGTCTCACTTTGCAGTTGATGAAGCCCAACACCATGCACACATTGCTGCCCAAAGCCTCGTAAAATGCTGTTTCCAAGAAAAATATTTGGCTTCTAAATAATATTTGTGAGTTGGTTTAGAAATTAGCAGTGTAGACTGGCTTTGTAATAGTAGTAAACCAAATAAAAACAATAGTAGTTTAAGTCAAACTTTCAGCAAAACCAACTTCTTTTTGCCATTAGGTTTCTGTCCATATAATTTAGTGGAGATATGCACAGGCAGTAAATTACAAGGTATTCAGTATCTGTGGTCATAAGCTCTCCACAGACAAGTTAAATCATCCAATAAATGATGTAGCAAATATTCACTGAATGGCTAATCTCCAAAATGGCATCTAGTGATATTATGGGAATGGATTCTAGCTCTGCGTTGAGTTACGTTCCACAGTGTCAGATTTAGTTGGAAAAATACAACATAATAAATATCATGCCACACAAATAACAATGCAAATAATAACAGGCTCTCCAAATCACATGCTGAATACTACTTTCAGCCTAGTGGGGCTTGTGCTACATGTTGCAAAGACTGTTACAGCCAGGCACACTTTGAAGTTGTAAATGGAGGAGGAGGTTTTAGATGTGTCTGTCTTGCCCATCTCTGCAATGGAAGGGAGAGGACAAACTGCAGCCCTCTGTTTTTTTTTTTTTAATAGGAAAAAGAGGTGTGCAAAAATAGTGAATTCAGCAGGAGAAAAGCAAACCACGGGCTCAGATAAATTAGCTGTGGTTTTCTTCAACAGACATTCATTGCCAAGGAGACAACCCAAGGAGACAACCCAACCTCATGAATTAAGGTGCAAATGTACAGACTGATTCCATGGTCCAAAGAAGCACTCTGCAGCTATCATGATGAAGAAAGTCACATGTCCTGGATCATTTCTGCTGAGCGGAGCTGCTATGTCTTGGTGTTTAACAGAATGCAATCTATCAGTTTAATAACCTGTATTTTCTATCAGGAACCAGATTCAGATTCATGAAGGGGAGAAATTCTGGACTGACTTAATTCTTTCCACCTCTAAGCAACATGATTCTTAGCTGAGATTGTACGTACTTAAAAAGTGATCATTCTCTTTCTCTTGTTTGTATTTTACTGTGTTGGCAGTGGTTCCAGAGTCCAAAACATTAGGATTTTTTTTTTTTTTCAAGTAGCCAAATCACTATAAGGGGCTTTCAGGCCTGAAACTTCCTGATGACCTTAATTTACTTGTCAGATAAAAATGTCAAATGACAGACAAGTATAATTGGAAAATGTGGATTTGTTAAAAACTGACAGAGAGGCAGGTAAGGCAAAATGATGGAAATACTTATTTTTGCTTGAAGTGATGCCTGTAGAAATCAATAAAGGCACAGTGCAGTGAACAACACATATATAAGCACATGTGTATGCGCATACACAGACTCTTCACATGCAGGTAAAAGGTACCATAAAACACTATCTAGGCAGTGAGAAGACAGTAATCAGGGACACTTAATAATTAATTTTTTTACAGCATTTTGCCATTCTACATTAAATTCAGCATGTCCCTTGATCTCTGTTCTTTTCTCATTTATCCAGCTTTCTCTTAAGGTAAAGTTCAAGTTGTAAATAGTAAGAGCTTTAACATGTATTGTTTCTATTGTGCATGTTCTTGAATCTTTTTTTTCATTTCCTGCTTTTTCTTTCTTCATTTGTCCTCTCCATCATCTGTGCATATTGGTATACGACCCTGTGTTTCTCCTCAGGACTATTCTTGATTATGCAAGACAGAAAAACTCCGTTTAAAAAACAATTATGATGGACTGCAAAGCCAAGTAAGTTCCTGCAACCTTATTTCATCTCTTTGTGTGTACCTATTAAGAGTGTTGCATTTAATCATAGAAGTACATAGCATTTTTTCCAGAATCTCATTTGTTAGACAACATGGTCAGCATTCATGTAGCTAAAATCAGTCTTTTGTTGTCTCTACACTGTCCAGTGCATGGTCTCATATCTGCCAACTATGCACCACCCAAATCTGTCCAGTGCAGGGATGATTAGTAGCTCTGTGATCACAGGGACGAATGTGGCTGTATCACGTATGGGGCCATACTCCATTTGATAGTTAAAGCTGATAGGCAAGGGGGTGAGGAAGTGCTGGTGCAACAGGAATATGTAAACCACTAGCACTGCTAAGACTCACAGGGGAGCTTAGTACCTGTCTAACTGGGCTGGCTGTTTTGTCTTTTAGTATGTTTCATTCTCTCTGCCTGTCTGCTCAATCAGTTCATTTTGACAAAAACTTACTTTAAAAAATGGGTAGCATAAGACAAGGAAAAGGATTTATTACTTATCCCAGCAGATGATTACATAGTATATTATAACATCTGGGTGTCAAAACTCTCCAAACACATTGTAGCTGCAACTGATGTGACTAGTTAAAGTGGTGATTTGATTTTAAAACTGCAGCATGTCTCATACATGTACCCAGAAGCATATTATCCAGATAAACTCTTCACTCTCATTACTCTTCATGCTTAACTCAGATTATATGCCCAAAATGACATTTAGAGTGTTTAACTGCATCATTCCAGCTTCGTCGCTATAACACCATGCCCAGAAATCCCTTCTGCATCCAGCCTGGTGTCAGTTCTGTCCCCACCATCTACTCTTTACATCCATGCCCTGTCTCAGCTCTTCTCTGGGTTCTTCACTCAAACGTGTGGAGAAGAAGCTTGCACTTTTTCTCCTTTCTGTGCTGAAGGGAAATATCCTGAGGCTTCTTCACTTCCTCACTGGGCAGACTGGAAGAAATGGTGCAGACCTTTTAGTCACAGTGCAAGAGGATGAAAGACAGAGAGAATCTTCCAGCTCTGTTGCCCTTTCTTTTCTTTGAGCAAATTTTTCAAAAACTTTTAAAGGGTTGTGTATTTGGTATAAAAGGGCTGGAAGCCCTAATGACAGCTCACTTCCGTCTCTTAGCTACATGCTTTAGTTATTTCAATCTGACATCTATCAGGCCATGGACCTTCCAGCAGACTGAAAGATAAAAAAGTGACAGAAAGACAGCTAGACAGATAATAGTGAGTAGCTGCAAGATAGATAAGTGTGGACGGTGAGAACTGGAGCTCTGATAGACAGGAACTGGCTGTCAGATGGATTTACAAGGCATTGTAAACAACAGTGCTTAAGAACAATAGGAAAGAAAAATATAAAGTCTAATTAGGGTAACCTTTACATTTTCAGAAGTGCTGCAGTTCCTGTGCTCCAGTGAGCTGATGGGCTCTAGTCTAGGGGGGAATGTGGGAAAGGGGGAAGGCAATGGAAAGGCAATCTTAAAAAGGACTTTTAAAAAGGAAAACTAATGCCATCACTAGCATAAGAATGTAAAACTCTCTGGAATGTATTTGCTTGAAAAGCCTTCTTCCAAGTGTTGCCCCTAACATTAGCTCTCTGACCAGTGGATGAACGGAAAGCCTGTGCAAGCAGTTTGAGATCTGAGCAAGGATGTGGCTCTTGTTTAAGAAATGGAGAGGAAAAGTAAAGTCTCTGGGGCTTCTGGGCACATACATTAGAGAAATCAGATAGGCCAAAGTCATATGTGAGGAACAAATGGCTGAAAATACAAAACACAGTAAGGAAATACTTCAACATTAAAGTGAGACATTCTGAGGTATCCAGTGCTGACTACTACTGAATGAATAGTAGGACTAGACAGACGTGGAGAGAGATCCAGCAAGATTTAGTTTCTAAATATGAGATATGTGCCATCTCATTTGATTTTTTCAACCAGAAATTTAATTTACTATTGTTAAAACATCAAACATTCTAACCAAAAAAAAAATCTCCATTTTGCATTGGCAATTCAATGTATTTC